GCCAGCACACCTTCTAGTCAAGACAGCAGTGCTTAGACGCAGGGGTTTATATGATTTTGTTTGAAAAGAGTCACCTAGCCAAATTCATGTGCTGACTCAGACACCTCTCATGTGTCACTTCAGACCCTAATGTGAGGATGTGTGAGGGTGGCTGGCTCAGCGTGGGTTTTGCAGTCTTCAGGCAGGTGTGAAGTGGCAGCATGTGTCACCTCCCACCTCCACCTCCTGCGCTAGGGCTTTCTCCCTGTCCCTGGCAGGTGCCAGGTGCATGACCCTGCCCAGTGGTGGCACATGTCTGGGACCAGGGGGGCACAAGAGCTGGTGAATAACTCACCTGCCTTCCCTTGCTGTCTGTCCTCAGTCGGCCCAGGTCTCGGAGGGGGCAGGGTCAGCATCTGGATGTGCCTGGCAGTGCCAGCTTGATGGGCAACCCCACTTCCTGTCCTTCCTCCCCGCTTCCTGGCAACCTCCCTCTGCTGGAGCATCAATTGCCCTGCTTTCTGGAATATCAAACCAAGACATATTCTTTGCTATTTTCCTGTAGCCCTTGGTGCAGTGAAGCACTCAGGAAAAATGATGTCAAGCATGTCTTTAAATTCCAGTCTTGCCTTGTTATGGATACTTGGCACCTATGAGATCATCAGAAGGAATGACGCATCCTCACTCATTAACTGGGGGCTCATTACATTCTGAAGCGCTGTCTTTTAATGTCGCCAAGGAGGGAGGCTCCCTTCTGGGACCCTGTGAGTTGCCTGGTGAGGGATCCGGGGCTGAGAGCCCAGAGGAGTCCTCTCTGGGCAGTGGCTCGGCCTTGTCCCCTGGATTCCCTCACTGCCCTCTGTGCACTCCCCAGTGTGCCTGCCAGCCGTCTGCGGTGCAGGGGAGACGGTCACCCCACTGCTGTCATGTCAACCTCCTGTGCTGCACCCTTAGATGGGTATGTAGCATTTCTTAATGGCAAGATTAGAATATTCAAAGAGGTTGTTTTGAGAAAAATGTGCTTGCATTGACCCGAGCTGAGTAGTTTTCTATTTGTGATCATAAAGACCAATGAGTGGAATACATTCCCTCAGGCTGGACCCTCTGTCCCCTAAAGAGGAGCTGCGAATGATGACAGGGACGCTGTCTTGATACATTTGAAGAGGGGAAGCCAGTGTGCCCGAGGAAGAGCTGGCTTGAGTAGCTGGGACGCTGGTTTCAGATGGCCAAGAAAGGGAGGAACTATATTCTTCTAGAGTCTTCTTTCTGTGATTTTCTAGACTTGGTAGAACATGGAAGATGGTGCTGGGTCTGTGGTGGGAGCAGGTGGTGGGCGGTCCTAAATAGGGGTGTTTTATGAATGTGAAGTCAGTAGGGTGAGAGTGGGTGGAGCTGACAGGGGGAGGACCTGGGTGAGGCCACTGGTGCCAAGTGCCATGGCAAGGGGCATCGGGGAGCAGCATTACCAGGAGATCTAATGGCTCTCTTGTTGGGATTGACGTTGATTTTCTTTTTGCCCTCACTAGCTCCTCTCTGCATCACCCCCCCAAAGACAAAATAAGCAAAAGTCCATGTATGTCAACTCTGCTGGTCTTAAGGGCCATGATAACACCTCTCTAGATGGGTTTGAAAACAGCCAAGCAAATTCCTGCTTACAGAAAAGTATTGAAAGCTGTAAGCAGGAATCTCTCAGTAAGTTGGTGGGTGGTCTCCTAGAAACTTTTGACAATATATTCAACACATTTGCATTAACCTGCTAATTATGGCTGTATATATTTGGTCAGGGAGGACTTCTCCTGCCTTCTGCATACCCTGACATATTAAGTTGTATTGATATGCAAACTGAACGAGGCTGGGGTGGTATTCATGGTATCAGTGAATCATTTCTGGGATTCCTAGGGCTTGTTCTGAAGACAGTTCACCATGCCCTTGTCCTTTAACACTTAATCTTATTTATTAGTCCAGTTAGAATAGATGGTATTCTTGAGGCAAGGTGACTTCAGTTCAGCAAGCAATGCAAGTTCTCAGGATGCTGAGCCCATGGTGGGATCAATGGATGGAGGGTTTTCTTTTGTTGTGGGATGAGAGTGGGTAGGGGTACAACTTCTACCACCTCATGAAAAACAACTTTTCCTATTGAACATTTGGAGGATGACATTCACCTACCCACCCACCCATCCATCCATCCACCCACCCATCCATCTACCCATTTATTTCTAGCACAACCTAGCTCTGAGTTCTTGTGTTATTTAAACTTTAAAAAAGATCTCATGACTGACAACAGAGCCCTGGGCTATTGATTTGACTGCTTCTTCCCATAAGTCGAGTGTTCTCAAAACTCTCAGCCTGTGGATGGTGTTAATAGCATCACATTGACCTTCACCTGGGAATCTTCCCGCCTCATTACCCCCACCTGGGAAGCAGGCTCTCAGGAGGAATGCCACACACAATACCGACATATGCTCCGTCTCAGTGGTTCAAAGGGAGGACTCCAGACAACCTGTCTCTGCTTAGCTTAGAGATCTGGCTTAGCCAACTCCCAGTTGGGTGAACTTGAGCCAGTTCCTCTCTGTGCTTTAGGACACAATCTGCAAAGTGAGGCTGATGAGGGTAAGGATGGTATCTTCCTCAGCAGGGATGTTGTCAGCTGAGTCAGTGATGCCCGGAAGCACTTGGAGCACGTCTGGCCTTGGCGGGTGTGAGTTATACCACCCCGAACACTCAGACTGACCTAGACTCTTTGCATTTCAGGAAAATTTCAACTCCTCATCTGGTGATGATCCAATTATGTGTGATGACCACCATTTACCCCAGGAATAGGAAAGCTGTTGGGTAATTTCCCCATTGCTCTCAGCCTTCCCTTAAAAATGTCTCAGGGTCTCAGAGAATTTTGAAATGAGACGCTTCCAATGTGTAGCTTTTTGTCAGGATCATTTTCTGATCTGAGACACTATCTCCTTATGACATCCTTCCGCTTCACTTTGCTTCTATCAAGTAAGACCTGACACAATAACCCTGTCTTAGAAATCCTGAAAAAATGAAATCCTTTTCTCTCTGTGAACATTTCATTCTGGTTTTCCTCGGTTTCTAAAATGTGATCTTTTATAGAAAAAGGTATTCATGACATTTGAACGGCATCCATGCTTAAGGTATTTAAAGTTGGTGGGGCTGAGCGTGCACCTATTTTGCACTTGCATTACATTTAATTAGGCTTTATTCAATACAAAACACTCTCCTTTTCGTACATGGGATTTGCCTCTTTTTTCCTGAGCTGTCTATGAATTATGCAGAGAAGGATGGAGGATTTATATTCTGGAGTAGTGCCGCTGTCCAGGGCTGCTGTGCAGCAGCTTGGCCCTCCATTATGGTCAGATTTGCGTCAGCTGCGTCAACCTTACGGGCTTTGTGTTGGAAAAGAGGAGACATCAAAATAAGCACAGATAATGACGGATGACTCGGGAACCTCAGTGGACTTTGTTGAAGAACAATGATGTTTGGCTAAGAACTACAGGTTTTTCCTCCACGGGAGCACATGGGGTGGGTTTCCCGTTCTGAAAATTAAGATGTTGCAAATTAAATATGAAGAAGGGACTCAATTTATGTACCTGTTCCAATTTGCTTTTACTTCCGCTTCCTGTCAGAAAGTGGTGGTTTTTACTTTCAGAACCAGACAGAATAGCCCCTGACCCGGGTGGGCGCTTGCACTTCACGTGCCCTGGGACCGGGGGTGTGCACGCATGTGTGGAATGGCTGGTAGCACACAGGACACATGACTCTGCCTCTCCCTCGGGTATCAGCTGTGCAAGGCAGTAAGAGTACACAGGGGAGGTCAACTTTGTTACCTTGTCTTTATCATTCACCTATTTATTTATACTAATCAGAACCTGAAAGCAAGATTTTCCCAGATGCTCTCTCTACTTATTGTTAATCAAACGTTGACTAAGGATCTGGGAATTTCTCATGACAACATTGAATGCTGACAGGAACTGATTATTATTTTTATGATATTGTTTTTAGGCTGAAGTCCTGGACCCAAATATAAATTTTGAGGACACCTTTGTAGTTTTCGTCTTGTTCAGCTCTCTGTCTTTCCAGAGTCGCCTTCAGGTAGTTATGTAACAATGGCAGTTCTTGCAAGATTCTAACTTCTGGGCAGGGAAAGCCAGTCTCCAGTCTCGACTCTGCCATCAATTAGTTATATTACCTTGGACAAATCAGCCTCTCTACCTGGCTTCATTTTCTTACTCTGAAAGTTAAGGACCTTACAATCTCTTCAATTCTTTTCAACTCTGAGCATATTTTCTCATAACGGCCAGAAAAATTTGATTGGCAAAATACTTCTCCTTCCGTGGACTAGAACAATTCTAAACACCATGTTATTTAAAGACAGTAGCTGGGTAAGCCTTGAGGAAACATATTTATATGGTTACATATGTAATGCATTTCATATAATTCCTCAGACCTCACACCCAAAGAACCTTGCCCAAAGATTCAAGAGTAATCACAAAATATTCATACTTTTGGTCAACCTGATGAAATGAAAATGCACAGGATAGGCATATACCATGACAGAAAAATAACCCAACAACAGGAGAAACTCTATTGACATAACATTTTTGTAGTCGATTAAAATTTATTTGAAAATAAGAGTTGGGCATTGTGATTGGCATGAGGATATCGCAGTGTAATGGCCATTACTGACAACAGGGACAGTTCTGATCTTGCAGTTAGCACAAACCCTTGGCTGTTTCCCTAATATTTTAGATGAGGTTATGCTCCTGCAACAGTACTCTCCTACCTGGTGTCCCTTGGGTGTGGATGGGGAAGGCGGTCTTGCAACTTCAGGAGATCCTTCCTGGGGTTGACCCAGTCCTGGTCCCCTGAGCACCACATTTCCACCATTCGAGCTAAGGTAACATAGACTTGATGTAATGCAAGAGATATTTGAAACAACAGAGGGGACAAAAATAATCCTGAATATATCTGATAACAATGTTTTCTCCTTTTTTTCATGTCTTTAGCGACAAGGTGCTGGGGCGACCAATGGAAAAGACAAGACATCTGGCGAAAATGGTAAGATGATATGCAGAGTCTACCTACTTACTTTTTTTCCCATCTGCAGCCTGGGGCACGTGGCAGGGGCAGATCATGCCCTCCATCCACATCAGCTTACTGTATATGTCTGCCCTTCAGTGTCGAGTGGATTTTAGCAATTCACAGTGAGCATCACGGTCTCGTTCTCTAAAGAAAACAGAGTGAGCTAAACACAGTGATAAGAACAGTTTCCTTCCCAAAGGCGGACTCCCATTTTGGGCAACATGATAATTACAATACAAATATAGTTCTCTGCTTTCTTCATTAGGGCTGGTGAGAATAGCCCGAGTTGTTGTGAGGATAAAATGAAATCAAATGAGTTAAGTGCTCTGAAAACTGTGAAGCTCTCAGCTGCGGAAAGGAGGCTTTAAAGCCTGCTCCAGCCTTCCCTGGGGCAGAGCACAGCACTGGGCCCAGCAGGGCTGGGTCAGTGAGTTAGCTGCAGCGACACACCAGCCAAGAGAAGTCGTAATACACACCAGGGCCTTTGCATCCTCTGACTGCCATTCTCTACCTTGGCCTTAAAGAGGAATGATCATCCTATTTTATGGATGGGGAAACTGAGGCTTGGAGTGGGGGAGCTGGGTAGTGACCAGGAATAGGAAGAGTGTGGACTTCGGAGGAGACCAAGCTGGGTGGAAGCCACCTCCCCAGCTTTAGTGGTTGTGCTGGGAGAGGACTCATAATAATGAAAAAAATCACCAGTAAGCGCTGAGTACTGTCATTATGGTTCTGGTGGGTGTTCTTACTTTGTGTTTATAAAATGAACTCACCTTTGGTGGGAAACTCCTCCTGCTTCCTGCTGGGTGGCACCCACGCTGGTGCCTGCTCACCCGGCTGGGGATAATGCCAATCTTAGGTACCAGCTGTGAACCTTCCTAGGGGCCTGAAAGCCACTTTGGGACCTCCATCGTGAGTCGAAGCTGGGGCCTGAGCAGATTCAAGTGCTAGAATGCCCCTCGGTGCTGCGCTCCGCTGTGGCTTGTTGACCCACCCACCTGTTTTAGGCCAGGCAGGGTCAGTGTGAAAAGATCATTAAAGCAATAAATAGATTGGTGGCCAAGAATGTCCCAGTCAGAGCTGTGGGGGAGGGCGTGGAAGGAAATGAGCTCTTTCACAATGCCCAGCGCTTCTCTGTGTGACTTGGGGTGGGTGTGGGATCCTGGCTGGGGGGTCAGAAAGCAGAGGAGGCACTGCTCAAACAAAGGGTTCCCTGCTGTTCAGGAGCTTCCTGCTGTGCTCAAAGGCTGCTTTCCCTCTGTTCACAGATCCCCGTCCATCTCCCCCTGGAGTTCACTGGTCCTTCACACCCTTAGAATCATGGGCTTGACAGCCCCCAGATTTCCCAGAGACCCTCTACCGGAGGCTTCTCAACCTTTTTGCTCTCAGCACTTCTTTCTCTTCAGGAAAATTCTCAGACCCAGAGAAGTTTTGGTTATGTGGGTTATGTCTGCTGACAGTTTCCTTATTAAAAATTAAAACAGAGGAACATAAAAAGGTTTTATTTATTAATTCTTTAAAAACAAACTGATAACCTATGACACGGTAACGTAAGTGGCATTTTAAAATGAAAAGTAATTATATTTTCCAAAGCAGAGAAATATTTAGTGAAAGAGTAGCAATGCTCTACATTTTCCACAAATCTCTTTAATGTCCAGATTAATAGACTACAATGGCGTCTGTACTCAGCCTGACAGGACACATCATGTAGCCTCTGGAAAATTCCACTGTGCCCTCAGGAGAGAATGAGATTTTTTTAAAAAGCAAATAATACTTCAATAGTGTAAAAAGTAATTTTGACCTTGAGGCCTCCCTCAAAGGAGGGAGGCATTCCCAGGGGAGCTGATCCTCCCTGGAGTCTGAAGATCGGGCAGAATGGTGGTCAGGACAGGACTAGGTCCCCGTGCTCAGTGCCTGTGCCGCTGCTTCAGCCTAAGGACTGTAGACCCTTCAGGGCGTGTCTGCATGCTCCGTGCTTGGCGCCAGGTGGAGTATCAGCTGTTGCAGAACACGATATTTTCCCCATTCTAAGGCATGGAATTTCTTTACAGCAAAATCAGTCCATTCTAGTGAAAACTGAGTATGTCTTTTCTGGAGATATAAAACTTAATTGAAAGGAAAAATTCAAGATGCCATGGATAAAGCTCTTCCTTATATAATTCTAGATGTTAGAGGATATTCAATTCTAAGTAGAAAAAGAGACACTTAGAAGTAGAGATTATTTCACAGTTACAGAATAATGGTGTGGTATAAATTCAAATTATTATTAATATGTGCACCTTAATTTCAGATAAAACTACTCATGTGATATATATCCATGGTATTTTATGATAATATTAAGTTGGTGCTTTTGCCTCTAAAAATGAACGAAGACAAAAGTTAATAACAGCCCAACCAAGATCAGGGTAAAGACTTCCAGAAGTCATCAAAAAGACATTTTCTTAAAAACTATGTTATTCAATTCCTTATTCTTAAACTTGAAAATATGAGATCATCTTGGAATTTCCATTTTAACCTAATATTACATTCCATGGAAATTCAAATTATTTTACTCTGTCACCACAGGTATCTGGAGAGATCTTTTATCTTAATGTGTATTTCCTATTAATAAAAATGGAGCTGTCCACACGGAGCAGGGACCCATGCGAATAGTGATACAAAGCACAGAACATCAGAATGCTATGAGGTTTGGGGAGTAGTCAATTAATCATAAAATGAACACTCTCAAATTTCACCAGTCATCTGTGGGCCAAAGTGTTCTTATCTCAAGTATTATAAACTTAGTGTAGGTCTCTGTTTAACACTTGAAGCGATGACGACTGTGGGAGTGAATTACGGGTGCCCTGAAATTCTAATTCACATCACAGAAGATACAAGTCAGGTCCATTTAAACTCCACAGGGATCTAAATTCTTGGGCTCTGATGGGATTTTGATATATTAAATATTATCATAAGTGGGCCATTGGCTGGGAATCTGGATTCTTGTCATTCCGAGATTTGTTTTTGTTGTTCTTGTTGCCGCGGTATTCATTGATGTGAAATATGACATTTATCCACTCCAAACCCAGAATGCCCCTGAAATACTCCTCATAACCTCTGGATACAAAGCGCATTTGCAGTATGGAGACAGGCTTTTTTCCCCCCCTCAGAAATATTAGGATTCTTCTTATTTTCTAATTAAAAAATGAATTCATTAGGATCTTAGTGGTTCAGAGATTTTCATTCCCAAATGAGCAAAGTACCTCCATTATTTGATTAGTTAGGCTGAGAACTTCATCTTGATGAGATGCCCTATTTGAATGAAACAATAGTTCACAGATCCAGTTCTAATTTATCTGCAGGGGTAAATCCAAACATGTTTATAAATGCAGATATAACCCTCTGAACCTAGATTATTCACCACCGATCACCAGTTTAGGCACAACTAAAATATTCTTTTGCGAGACAATAATTTTGCTGGCTATCTTGAGCTGTATCATAATACTTGTCATTTAGAGAGACTCCAAGAGTTAACATTTTTTATTGACATACAAAAGTAGGAAAATACTGGAAGGAGAGCGGCTGCCAAGAGACTTGCAATCTGAAGCAAAGATTTATGAATAATAAACCTGGCAGAGCTCACTTCCAGAGCTTGGAGGCTTACCCAAGCTAAATTGAATTTCTAAAACTGGAATGGATTTCTCTTGCCTTAGTGAACTGTGGTAGATTTGTTTCCAAATGCCTGTGTCTTTGGAGAGAAAAGGCATAGATGCACCTGATTTTAATAAAAAAATCCCTCCGATCCAGGTAAATGCCCAGATGGGGGGTACTATTCTGAACTCCCTGTGGGGTTCACAGCAGTTGTAGGTTCTTTGGGGTGTGATCACCTGACAAAATCTCAGGTGTCATACTTGAGTAGGTATGCTCCTTCTTTGGGAAGGAGGTTGTGGCTTGAGAAATTTCTAGTAGGTGTGGGGATATGCCAGGAGCAAGTAAGATTTAGTTTGCTTTAATGTGATTATATGGTTGCAAACAATGAATAAGATTAAATGTTGTGTTGAACCACTGTGTTGTATATTTGAAACCAACATAAGATCGTATATCAATGATACTTTAATTCAAAAAAGATCAAATGTTGTTGTACTGAGGTACTCTCCTCTCCTTGTTTTGAACAAAACCCCAACCACAGAAATTTGAATTATCTTCTTTTTGGATTTGAAGGAGCAGGCACACACACACACACACACACACTCTGTAATTTTATTTTTCTGCTATCAAGGAGGTGGAGAGAGACAGAGAAGGACCTGCATTCACAGACAGATAGATAGATGCACTACCATGAATCTGATTTTTCAAATAAGAAGTGGATTTAAATATTCATTCCCAAATAATAAATATTTATTAAAAGATATTACTAAATATCTATTAATAAACAAATAAATAATACCCCTACTCAACCACCCCAGATCACACAGTAAATACAGAAAGTTTTTCTTTTGGTGGTTTTAGCATACAGTGATCATCTGATACCTACACGCTGACGTGGGCAGATTCTGCCTAGGGTATCTTTAATCCCTCCCCACTCCCTGATTTGTGGGAAGCGTGTGGAGTGACGTCTCAGGAGAGGTGAGGATGAGCTTGGAGTAAGAAGGAACTGACAACAAAAGGTGACGGGGTGTGCACTGTGGCACCCAAGACTGAAGGTCATTTCTGGCAGGAGGCTGGGCCTGGCTGATCTTGCTCCTGTGCATGGAAGTCTGGGGGGATGGCAAAGGAAGGAATGCAATTTCTAGAAAGGCTGCAGAGGGATCAAACCATGTGACTGCCTAAAGCAGTGATGTGATTCGATTCTGCTTCAAATATGGGATTTGACAGATAGGACCGTTAGAGAGGGGTCCCCAGCCTGCGTCTGGTTTCATGGTGTTCCTGTGGGCTGGCGTGTGCAGGCATCTGGAACCAGGGATTTGCAAAGCTCAACTCCACACAGAGGATCTAATGTG